GGCAACTAAGCATGAAACAATGTTGCTTGCGGTTGGACATGATCACAGAAAACAGATTCAGTTCAGCCAGGGATTTACCTGTTTCAGTAGTTAATCAAAGTTACTACATTAAACAAAGTGTAGCGGTTTCACACGAATTGCTATCAACTGATCCCAATAAAAGGAAGCGTCCGACCAAATGCAGAAAATCGCTCAGCTCTGCTTTAAAGCCATATTGAACTTCACACAAACAACAATACTGAACGAATGACAGTAGCACTTTGCTGTAACGGCAGAAGTTTGGTGTAGTAGTGCATTTATCTCGATATTGCAAGAGCTCATTTCCGGTTAGCAGTAAATGCTGGTATCTGCTTTGTAGCTGAAAACGCTGCTGTGTGCCATGTCCTACACATCAGCTTCGGTTGATTTATGGTTGCCCGGATGTCCCCAAACTGTGCCCGCCGTCCGCTGCCCCGAGTTGGTCGGGTGTCTCCTCAAACTTTGCGACTCTCGTTATCTGCAATTTGCGACAATCCGCTTCGATCATGCGACGCTAAGGCCCACCGACCAGTGGAAACTTATCAGGCGGAATTGTCACAGTTTCTACAGATGCGTCTAGCTCAAGTTACTATACTTCGGACTGATTGGGTCCAAAAACGAAGTCGACTGAAACACAGAGATTAATACAGGTTGTAAAGCCTATCCAGTCAGTCATGCAACAATAATAATATTGCGAGGTGCAGAATACTTGAACAGCCTCAAAAATGCAGTTAGCTTTTCCCATATTATCCTGCTGACACCATTTCATGATTAGTATTTATTCTGATTGTGTTTTGCTTCAGTCTGCACCGAATAATACCAGTATATGGTGCGAGACCAGCCAGCTTTTTTTGAATATTAGCGAAACGTGACGTATTACAGGAAATAAAACTGTGTCTTCTTGTGATTACAGAATCCAAGCGGTAGTTAAATTGTGAATACAATGTCGTGGTCTTGGGGGTTTTGTTTGATCCGGAAATAAACTTCAGCATATTAACCGAATAGGCTCTGAATCTAACCAAAAATATGGATTTATTGTGAGAAACTGTAGAAAGTTCAGTAACATATTCCCTTTAAGAACTTTTTTCGCATGTAAGATCAAAGCTGGATGCTGTTCTATAATTTGAAATCCATATTACAGATCTCATGTTGAATGGTCGAAGAATGTTTAAAGAAAGTTTTTGAAATATTTAAAATCCAAAATATATCGTGTTTACCCTCTGTAAGGTTTTGAACATCAACTCAAAACAATTCAACAACATTGTTGAAAGCTTGGGATTTTCATATCTATCATTTTGGTATGATCTATGCAATGAAGTGACTGATTTCTCTGAATTATGAGGTAAAATAAATAATAATGTTACAGTGTTACTTTTTAATGCAATACTCCCAGAAGTAACTTGCTACTTAAATCTAGTTTGCTTAATGATATTTCACGCCATGTTAATTAATAATTAACTGAAGTCAGCTGCTAAGAATGTTCTTTAATATCCTTTTACTTTTGATAAAAATGCTATAACATCTTTCTATTACACTTGTTTCTCGTAATTTCTATTCCTGATAAGTTGGACTATATCTTCATAAAATTATTGTTTTTTGCTCTGTAAAGGGACTGCGCGAGTTGGGTAATAATCTGCTATTATTATTTATCTGTTATTATTATAACATTACTTATTTTGAGAAACTTGATTTTGAAATGAGTTCTAGTACAAAGGCATTGCCAGAAATTTAACAATGGGACGTCTTCAGGAGGTTGATATATTTCAGTCTGTGAAGAGGTGGATATATTTCACAAAGCTTAAACGCTGTCTTCCTTCAAGTAAAGATACGCATTTTTCCGTATTTCGATGTAATCTTCTACTGGCATGGGTTTTTTGCGTTGGTTGTGTGTTGTTCATTATTTAGCTTTGACTGTGAGGCAAAACGCACTTTTTGTATGCTGAGATTACTTTGGAGGTCCTATCCTATTTTCTGTTTGAATCCACTTTCCTTCTTTTTGCGGATTTTGTAAATTATGTTTCTATTTGTTATATGCCTTTTCCGCATGATCCTTTTCTCTTTGTAGATTCCTTGGGCTTGAAGTCCCACAGCAAGTGGCTATAACAGGTCGCGTGGTTGTGGTTGGATGTCGCTTTAAAAATATTCGAGGTCTTTTAGCCATTTTATACTACAATGAGTCGGTTGGCTCTTGTTGGTGACTTCATGTGTCACATCTTTTCCCTATCCATCTTAGTTTCCGCATATTACACCCATATCTGGATGTGTGGACATGTGTATCTACCTTTGTAATGGCATATATGCATTCATTTTGGGCCTGATCAAGCCATCAAGCAGAAATACGTATTGTTAGGGTTACCTATCCTATTTTCTGCTCGAATCCACTTTCCTTCTTTTTGCAGATTATCTTTTTCTATTTGCTATATACCTTTTTCCGCATTATATGTTTTTCTACATGCATATACATTTGGTTTGTTCGCAAGGAAATACCTCTAGGCGAGTTGTAATTTTCATAAATCGGTCTGTTATTGGCGATAAGCTGTTGATCAACAAATGCGTATTACTATTTGCGACCTACACTCCATTAGCATGGTGGATGTTCGTCGAACGTCTGGAGGAATTATGCTATTCTCCGAGGTCTTGCCTATACCTTGAGGAAGAATGCGTTGTGGTGTATACTAAGTGACATATAAATCCGAACACCCGGTTTAAATGGTTTTATTTTAATAAAATTTTGTAAAGTACTTAATGAAGCATAATAAGTAAATGATAAAAATTTCTAAATGATTGCACTGCTTTAAAGCCCTTTGACCTTTAATAATGTGTGGATGCACCCTGATGTGCTACGCATTCTCCAACGCGCCTAGGCGTGCTTCTGATCAGGTGGTCAATGTCCTCCTGTGGTATCTCTTTCCAGGCAACCACCAACTCCCCTCGAAGTGCTTCTAGAGTCTGAGGAGGACGTTGCAAATTGAGCAATCTTCTACCCATCATATCCCACACGTGCTCAATTGGGGATAAGTCGGGAGATCTTAGTGGCCATGGTAACAATGTGACATCATTATGTTGAAAGAAGTCTATTGTGACTCTTGCAACAAGTGGTCGGGCAATATCTTGTTGGAAAGTTGGATCTGCCAGGGTGTCAAGATAGGGTAAAAGATAGGGTTCTAGAACTTCGTGGATATAACGCTGCGCGCTCATGTTACCTCCGATGAAGATTAAAGGTGACCTGGAACCATAAGCTATAGCACCCCAAACCATAAATCTAACAGTGTGATGAACATGTCTTTCAACAAAAAACTGTGGATTCCTCCTTTCACCACGTCGCCTTCTAACCCTGGCACGACCATCGTGCATGCCTAAACAAAATCGAGACTCGTCACTAAAGACAATACTATTCCATTCCTGATCCCAAATTGACCGTTGTCTGTACCACTCAAGGCGATTACGTCGGTGTTCTCGAGTTAAAGGGAGGACCCAGTGTGGCCGGTATGAAAACAAGCCAAAACTTCTCATTCGTCGGTAAACACTTCGCATGCCAATAGGTCTTCCGTGTTCTGCAAACCATTCATTTGCAATGGACCTGGTAGTGGAGAAACGATCCCCTAAGGCCAATAATCTTAGGCGGCGATCTTCACGGTCTGTTGTTCTACGGCGGCGTCCAGTGCCCCTTGCTCTTTGCGTACGGCCTTCTCGAAGCCATGCCTGACAACACCTAACCACAGTGTCTACACTTCTTTGCACTCTAACTGCAATTGCCCGAAAAGAAAGTCCAGATTCCCGAAGTCCCACTATACGGCCCCTCTCAAACTCACTGAGTTGACGAAATCGTACAGGTCTCCTTACTCTAGGCATCGTAACCGATCCTAAAGGATGTCAAGAACCAAAATCCGCCAACGTTGATTTTTTACTGCGGCTGAAATATTCATTTTTAGAGCCTTAGTGAATTAAAAAAACAGTATAAAAACCGGAATGTCCAACTGATAAGGCTGAACATTTTTTCACTTGTTATTTACAGTAAGATAAATACATTTACCAACTTTTATTAAAATAAAACCATTTAAACTGGGTGTTCGGATTTATATGTCACTTAGTATATTTATGATAGACTACGTCTAATTATGTGGGCTGTTCCCATTATCGCTGCTTTTTGTAGGGTGTTTAAGGTATGTTGTTTTTCGTTACCGGGAATCTTTGTGACCTGGGGCTGGAAATTCTTTTGCAGGGTTCCAGTAGTGCATATAATGTGCTTTCAAACCCCACATTCTGTGTATTTCGATTTTCAGGTCCTGGTATTTTAACATCTATTCAGATTCTTTTTCTTTTACAGATGCATCCGATGGTATAGCCACATCAATTATGTACCACTGCTTTTTGGAAAAGTCTTTTAATACAATATCTGGCTTGTTGGCTGTCGGTTTGAATTTGCTGGTCCCAAATGATTACAACATCATTACGTTTTTCAACAGCTTTAGGAATGTGATCATACCAGTTCTGTGATACTTCGATTCCGAAGTGTTTGCATATGTTGTAGTGCAAATATGCACATACTTTATTGTGTCGGTCGATATATTTTTGGCTAATACCGGGCAACCGGTCATTGGGTGATGAATAGTCTCATCGTATTGCTTACACAACCGACATTTTGCATCTACGTTTTCTCCATGTATCCTGTTTTACCTAGTTTGTGGTGATTGCCTGATCTTGGGCAGTTACTATTAAAAATTCTGTTTCCCCTTTCAATAAACAATTTTCCAACCACCTTTATGTACATTTCCTTCCTACCGTCTTCCATAGATTGCCTTCCTAAACTGACTATGCATTATCTTTTCCAACCACCTCTTTTCTCTATGTTCTTCCATGTGCTTTTTACAGTTTCGCTTCAATGTTTTATTCTCTCTAAAACTGTATCTTTGACTTGAGTCCATTCATATTGCACATTGCCTACTGTGATTTGCAATAAGCTTTCAGCATTACGAATTAACGATCTTTTGGTAGGGAGTCCTCATATTCTGTCATGAGTTTCACCAGTTTGTCATATTTTTTCCACTTTAGGTATTGTCCTAGGTCTATGATGTTCAGCTCGCAGGTTTGATGGATACTTGTTAGACCTCTACCACCTCTTTTTCTAGGGACGTATAGGCGATCTATATCTGCCTTGGGGTGGTGCATATTGTGAATTGTTAATATCTTCCGCATTTTTCTGTCAACTGCCTTTATTTCAGCGTCTTTCCAATCCAATATTCCGAAGCTGTAAGCCAAGACAGGCTGTTCTAACGTTACTAGAGCGGTAAATCCATTTTTCTCTGTGAGTTCAGTCTTCAAGATCTTTCTTACTCTGGAATAGTATTCTCTGGTAACAATTTCTTTCATTTTTTTGTTCTCAATGCTACTATTTTCTTCTACTCCGAGGTATTTGTATGTTTTATCTGCTTCTAACTCTACTGTCTCTGCGCCATCGCATAATTGAATGTTCTCATTATTTTTCACTACCTCTTTCTATTGAGATTTTGGCACATTTTTCTATCCCAAAACGCATGCTTATGCTTTAGCTAAACTTTGTCACCACCTGAACCATATCTTCCAGTTTACTATCATTCCTGGCGTACAGCTTCAAGTCATCTACATAAAAAAGGTGACATACAGGGTCCTTCTTCTTCGTGAGCCGATAACCTTTTCCTGTACTGTTGAGTTCGTTGGTTAAAGGAAATAGTGCCATGCAGAACAGGAGCGGGGACAGTAAATCTCCTTGAAACATTCCCGACCGGACGTTAACGCTTCCTGTTGTTATTGCTCCATCACAGGTATTCAGTGTTATTTGAGTTTTCCATTTTTTTCATTGCAGCTTCCAAAAGACTGACAACCATACCATTCACTTTGTTCAGTTCAAGTGTTCTTAAAAACCAAGAGTGCGGAACACTGTCAAAGGCTTTTCGGTAGTCTATCCATCCCATACTTATGTTTTTATTCTTTTTTCTAGCATCCTCTGTAACGATCTTATTCAACAAGAGGTGATCCTTACAACCATAGCTACTCCTTGCACAACCCTTTTGCTCGCTCGGAAACAAGTTATTTTGTGTCAGGTGCTCATAAATTTTATCACTCATCATAGCTGTCAAGCTCTTGTATAAGGTAGATGGACATATTATTGGACGGAAGCTCTTAACCTCGTATGTTTTATTGTTTTTTGGAAGCAGGACGTCGTTCCTTCCACCAGCCAGCTGGGAATACATTCAGGATTATCCAGCACCTTCAACCAATAGTTCTGCACACCAGCTAGCGGTTTTACTCAGACTTTCTCTCACATCGGTCTTCGTGAATCTATTCCATGTCATTTCACTTATTTTACCCCTGCGGCGTTCTTCTCTCTCTAACCATTTTGCCTGTCTGTTAAATGCTGACCCTTTTCCCCATATTCCTTTCCGGAATGACTCTATATCAGTCTTTTTTGGATACGCGCTAACTGCTATGCTCCTTTGCAGTATATTTCTATAGAACAGCTTAAGGTTTTCATTTAACATCTTATTTTGTATGTAATAGTCGTGCCTTTCCGAGCATCTACGGAGTCTTTGTGACTTAGCTTGTATCTTCTGTTTTATGATTTCAATCGTCTTATTTTCGTATTTTCCACTTTTTACTTGGTATTTGCCGTATAGCCGTTCTCTTATCATCTGCATCCGTTATGATAACATGCCTTTTGATATTTCTACTAGCTGAGATAACTCTTTCCCCATTTTCACTATACTAAGCATCTAGTCCTAGCTCCTTTTCTATCGTTATACCGGTAACGTATATTAGTATATTCAGATCTGTTATGCTCAGTCATTCTTTGTCGCTCGCTAGTATTTGTTTTAGTGCTCCGTTCGTTACTCCTACTGTTTTTTTAGCTTTTTCACAATATTTGACCTTTGGTAATTTAGGACGTCTCATTTCTTTACAGCTTTTTACTTGTAACAATATCTTTGCTTTTATTTCGTCGGTCAGGGATCTCTCCTTGCATGTATTGTTTGAGGCTGTTTCATCTTCTCGCTGCTCTACAATATCTCCCAGACACACCCTATCAGCATTTTGATTTTGGTCATTTTGACTTCCACTAGCGTCATGCCTTTTGCTGCGAGTAATTGCATCTTGTACACTCGCTCTGACTTTGTCTAGCTCCATTTGTGTTAACTTTGCGTGGGATATGACATACCTTCTTTGTGTTGCAACAGTGTTAGCTGACAATTTAAGGTTTGTCTGCGGATTTCTCGTTTTATATATCTCAAAGTTCTCTTTAATATTGGTAGTACCAGAAGTTTCCAAACAGTAGTAGGGTGGTTATCTGAAATTTGGTTAACTTGGTGTTAGCATGAATTTTCACAATATTAAAAAATATATATCCTATATCTGAAACTACTAAGCGATATTTTATAGTCTATTTAGTTCGGTCGCCAATTTTGATAAATATCATAATATTCTTTATTTCAATAAATTGACATTTTTTACTCCAAATATCAGGCCCTAGCCATGTAAGATCTCCCAAATTTAGTATTCACGTCACTGTAATCTTATTGTATTAAATAATAATTTGATGAAACTCTATTTAAATTTGTTTACTATTACATTGCTTACATTGTCATTACGATTTAATGTATAAAATAATTTTGTTTGATCACATTATTTCAAGTCAAAAAGTGTAAGCGATGAAAAATATCAGGCCCTAGTCATTTACGAAATTCAAAAATACGCGGCATCCAAACATATAACTTATTCATAACTCACTCAATATGGTAGCATCGGTGTGTAGTTGGTTGCAAACACGAGCCAAGCCGCGGCAGCAATTTTGCTATTAGTGTGGTAACCGACTTTGCTGCGGAAACACGTGCTGTGCCAGTCAAACTCTCAGGCCCTAGGTAAGTCGTTTTAAACATATATAATTACTCATTGATCTCATTACTTATTGAATGTATGAGCTAGGTCTGCTTTGTTATTTTGACCGCCTATTGATTTTATAGTGATTTAAAATAATAGCTTTCATTTGATTTTGCTTCGTTTCGTCAGTCCCTAGACCGTCAGGCCCTAGTCGTAATAGTGACTAGGGCCTGATGCCACATCTAGGGACTGATGATCATACTGTGTGATGCATAGTTTTAATCATAATACCAATGTATATGTTGTAGAATATGGCGCCTATAAAGAAAAAAACATTGTCTAAAGAGGAAATTGCAAAAAAAAGTCTGAACAGGCAATGAGGCGATTGGAAAAAATTAAAAATGATCCTGTTTTGCTGGCGGAGTACAAAGAAAAGGAACAACTAAAATATCTAAAGAAAAAGGAAAAAGGACAACGGAAGTGTGTAAAAGATATGACTCCCCGTGAGCACAGAAAGGCAAGAAAAAATTGGGTAGTCTATTCATCTGATTATAGAAAAAAACAAAAGATTCGTGACAATACAGATAAATAGGTGGACCAAAATACGCATCGGAAGATGAAATTATTCCTGAGGCTCCTTTATTAAATAATGAAAGAGAAGCTGAAGCTAGAAGGAGGAGTATAGTTCAACGGAGAAAAAGAGAAAATTGTGGAAATGGAAAACGACCCTAATCAAAAAGCAGAATTGATAAAAAAAGCGGTATTTGGCGATATTATTCAAAGGCAAATTTTAGATAAAGAGATTCAGACACCCAAAACAAAAACCTGCTTAAAAACGATTTTGTCAAGTCCACTGACACATAAATATAAAATATGGAGACTTGGAAACACAGCCATTACATATAAAAAGATGGGATTTAATCGTACAAAATATGAAGCTATGCGAAAAAAAAAGAGAGTTGAAGAAATCATACACAAGTTTTATGAAGATGACAATAATAGTCGTTGTGCGGCAGGAAAAAAAGAGTGCATCACTCGCAAAAAAATTAAAAAACAAAAAAGATATTTGCTGGATTCCTTGAAGAACTTGCATCAAAAATTTCACAATACGAGTTTAATGAAAATTGGGTATAATTATTTTTGCAAATTGCGTCCATTTTGGGTTGTTGTGCCTAAGCTTACAGACCGTGATACCTGTGCTTGTGTTATATTCATGAAAACATCAATTTGAAGTTAGGTGCCTTAAAAAATGCAAACGTTCTTGACTTTGCCACATATCAAACTGCACTGGAAACAATTTGCTGTGATCGTTACTCGGAAAAATGCTTAGCGAGAACTTGCCAGGACTGCTCATTGAAGATTTTACCATATAAGGAGTTTGATAATAGTAAGGACATGGCAGTCAAACAATGGAAGCATAGCAAGGAATTGATTAAGGACATTAAAACTAAACAGGATAGATACGTCACAAAGTACAAGAAAGAGATATGCAATTCAAAACCTCGTGATTTAGTTATGCAATTAGAAGAGAGTGATCTTCCAAAATTATTCCAACATGAACAGAACATCGATCATCAATTTAAAACTATTAAATCTTTGAAAGAGTCACTTACAGAAAAGGATGCAGTAATTCACAACTAAATGCAACCAAGAAATTCAGTCGTATCATTTTGGCGGCACCAGGACTCAAATTTCTTTGCATACAGTGGTGGTTCACACAAAGGATAAAGTAACATCCCATTGCACTGTGTCTTTAAATTTATCTCACAACGCTGGAGCCATTTGGGCACATTCACAGCCTATCCTCTTAGGTTTGCCATCCTCTGTAGAAAACCTGCATTTTTTGAGTGACGGTCCTGTAACCCAATATAGAAATAAAACAATGTTTTATATTTTGGGTTGCAGAATCCAAGATTTCTATCCACTGGCTATAGAATATACGTGGAATTTCCATGAGGCGGGACATGGGAAAGGGGCACCTGATGGAATTGGAGCTACATGCAAACGCTCTGCAGACCAACTCGTAGCTCAGAGAGGTGACATTACGAACTTGTACGACTTTGTAGCTGTGCTTCGAGAAAGGTGTCCAAATATAAATATCTCTGTTATCGAAGATGTCGACATAGAAAAAGTTAACAAAATGATCAAGGAACATGAGAAAGAGCAGAAACCGTTTAAAGGAACTCTCTTGGTGCATCAAATCTCGGGTCATATTTATAACCCTAATGAACTTGTCTTGAAGTCACTAAGTTGCTTCTGTGATAATGACGGTTGTGACCATTATAGGTTGGGGACTATTACGTACCAAACCAATACACAGCGGCTTCAAGTTTCAGATATTTTCACGGATTCTGAAGATGATATGCCGTTAGCAAGTATGAGCCACATTGCACAAGAAAAGTCAAAAACGAGCTACGGCGGTGGCGATTATGTTCTAGTTAAGTTAATAATGAGGGGAAAAGAATACCGATACGCCGCAGTTTGCTCAAAATATGATGACGAAGATGGAGAACTGACAGTTACATTTCTTAAAGTTTGCAATAAAGATGGCACAGAATTTGAAATAAATGATAATGATATCGCCGACGTACCTTACGAAGACGTTATAGAAAAACTGCCAGTTCCTAATATAATCGTCAAGAGAAATACAGTCCTTCACAAATTTAAAAAACCCATTAATGTTTACGAGAAGTAAAACAAATAGTGAAACAAATAAATAAGAGGTACTAGATAGTTTAAGTGCGAAATATTTGTGATCTCATAATAATTAATGAAAGTCTGAATGTTGTGTTCAAATTATAATTTGGTAACTCAAAACTTTAGAAAGCTGATTATTTAAAATAATTGTTAATTTTTAAAGGACTATTAGTTTGTAAGTATTAAACTCAAAGTATAATTTGATTGTTGAGAAATATTGATAGATTATTTTCAAGTGTATAATTAAAAAAATAAATCCTGTACTGTGATTATAAATCATAGAATTTGTGAACTTAAGAGATTATTTTGTTGTTACGGTTGATTTTGCAATAAAAAATGTGATTTGACATAATAACCGTGTTTGGTGTCAGTCCCTATCACTTGTCGTCAGTCCCTAGAACACTGATTTTAAAAAATCATAAATTTCTCTGAAAATATCAAGTAAAGTGACTGGCCCTTTTAGATGCAGCAAAGTAGATGTTATACCTACAGCATAGAATATAAGCTGTTCTGATTTTTAACTAAAAACACCACCTCCAAAATTACATCAGAAGTTAACCAAATTTCAGATAACCACCCAGTAGTAGCACCACATAATTTCTTTGTATTCTTCTTTGCTCCATTTTTGCCTATCTCTTTTACCGTTACTTGAGCATGTATTATTATTATTATTATTATTATTATTATTATTATTATTATTATTATTATTATAATTATTATTTCTTTTAAATTTCTCAGCTCTTGATTGTTGGTGGCTGGATTACTTTCTTCGTCAAAACCGGGGGTATGCCTTACCCCTTAGGTTAGACGTTATTCTATGACCTTTCTTATAATGTGGGCTGTACCGAATATGGCTACAGTTTGAAGTTGGTAAGGGTTTAAGGTACCTGAGATTGCCTTTACATATGCGTCAAAATTCTTAGACACGGCACCTGTGGAACCTATTATAATTGGTACTATGTGCGTACGCATTTGCCACATTCTGTTTATCTCAATAGACAAATCCCGGTACTTTAGAAACTTTTCAGCCTCTTTGTCTTTCACGTTGTAATCTGATGGTACTGCAACATCAATTATTATAGTGCATAACTTACTTTTATGGTCTTTGATAACGATGTCCGATTTGTTGGCAGCAATTGTTCGGTCTGTTATTATAGGCTGATTCCAAAGGATGGTGACATTAGTTGCAGTTACAACCTGCTGTGGTTCATGATCATACCAACGCTGTTTAACGTCAATATCGAAATCTTTGCAGATTGAGTGGTGCAAGATCTTGGCAACTCTGTCGTGTCGTGTAACGTATTCGCGCTGACCGAGGATAGGGCATGAAGACATTACGTGAGATATGGTTTCATCCTTCTCTTTGCATATCCTACATTTGGAATCGTTGTTCCTTCCCAGTATCCGGTTTGACTGGTAGTTGGTATTTAAGGCTTGATCTTGTGCCGCTGTTATGAGACTTTCTGTTTCACCCTTTACGTTTGCTCTTGTGAGCCATCTCGCTGTGTCTTCTTTGCTGAGGTTATGGTTTTGAAGTACTCGGGTAACATATTGTCCATGCAGGGCCTTCCCTTGCCAGTTTTACCCCAGTGCAGTGCAATGCATATTTTGTACGTCACCTTTCTTTTCTGCAAGTCTGACCCTAAGGATTCCCGTATAGATAACTGGCGACGCAATTTTGTTGCAGTTTGTATAAGGGACTTAGTTACTGGCAGAGAGAGATCGTAATTTCGGGCAATCATCATCATTCTGTCTGGGCTGTTTTCACAGTAGTCGCTTATACTGAGTATTACTGACTTGTAGGCTGCCTCCACTTGCTGTAGTCCCCTGCCTCCCTCTTTCCTGGAAACGTAAAGCCTGTCGGTGTCGGCGCGAGGATGTAGCATACCATATAATGTTAGCAGTTTACGCGTTTTTCGGTCGATTGCTTTTATTTCTTCCAATTGCCAATCGATTAGGCCAAAACTATAAACAAGGACTGGCAATGCAAATTGACCTAGAGCGCGGATCTTATTTCTGCTGTACAGATGACTATTGAGTAGCAGCCTGAGTCTTCTGACGTATTCCTTCTTGACCCTCTGTTTGATTAGGTTGTGATTTATCCGTTCTCCTTCGTCAATACCTAAATATTTATAAGTACCAGCATCTTCAATTTGATAGAACTGTGTCTCTTCCATGTGGTTCTTCCTTTGCAGCTTTCCTTTTCTGAATATAGCCTGCGCGCACTTATCCAGCCCAAACTCCATATGGATATCATCGCTGAATCGTCTAACTGTATTGATTTGTTCTTCTAGATCTGTCTCATTTTTTCCAATCAGTTTCAGATCATCCATATAGAGAAGGTGGTTGACTTTGGAACCACTTAAAATGTAGCCAGCTCTCATTCTATTCAGTTCAGCAGACAAAGGAATGAGTGAGATACAGAAAAGAAGAAGTGACAGGGCGTCCCCTTGGAAGATGCCTCTTCTGATATTAATTTTTGATGTGACGATCTCAGTATTTTGACCTTTTAGATGAACCGTGGTACTCCAAGAAATCATCATTCGTTTGCAAAGCTCAATAATTTTGTCGTTCACACCGACAAGTTGCAGACTTTTTAGAATCCATGAGTGGGGAACTGAATCAAAAGCTTTCTTGTAGTCAATCCACGCTAAAGTTAGATTTCGTTTACGTCTTCTGCAGTCGTCTAAGATATACTTTGAAAGCATAAGTTGGTCTTTACATCCATTGGAACCTTTACAGCATCCCTTTTGTTCCGGCGGCAGAATGTTGTTTTGCTCGATGTGAGCATAGATTATTATTATTATTATTATTATTACTATTATTATTAATGCTCTTCGTGTGCCCATACCTTCCGTCATTGCAGTTTTCCGAACGAGACGGTCAAAACTTCCAGTACATTTCATAAGTCATAACCAAAAGGCCCACATCGTGGCCTCAACCAAAAATAAAAATTTTTCGAGCTGAGAGATCTACCAGATGTCCCGAAAAACCGACCCAGACGCAGCAACCAAAGTGAAAGACTTTGCGCTTGAACACCTATAAGAATGAAGCAATTAGCACAACGAAAACATGGGGATAAGTAATGAGAACAGACGCAGATCATAAAGGCAGGTAGGTCAGTGACTATACTGAAGCCATTAAGTGCATTAAGGTAAGGTAAGTAAAATGGATGGTACATGTGCAACCGAAATATTCCTGATATGAATATGAGATTTCTTTGTCAAGTAAGAAGAGGGTATGGTGTTAGATACTATGAAACATAGGTGATGCCGTAGTTTACACAGCAAACGCCGTTTACACAACAACATGAACCTCTGTGTAGAACGGTTTTTGCGAAAATGGTGGAGTTTTAGCACCTAGATGGATCTTTTGTATAAGTATCTATTTTTTCGCTGCAAAAAGTGCAAACGCAAATTCACTGACATCAGTAATATTTGTACCTCTATATCAAAATATGTGTGAAATGAGTGAGCAATTTTAACTCAGAAGCAGCCAATCCCATGCACTAAAGGACTAGTTAGATATATCATGATGGCTATCACCTGCACAATTCATCGCATTCACGATATTTCTATCATCTAATAATGTAGAGCAATATTAAATGACCATCTCTGACCAGGGTTTATTAGACTATGATTGTACACTGGATCTCAGTTTTTATGTAATCGTCACAAGTGATGGTAAGTAAGCTAGATTGACTTTGGATCAAAATTATTACATTCGCTAAGAATGTACCCATAGAACATGAATCCTTTGTGAAATTTTTCCCACAAATATGATGGAATTCTAGTACTTAGATCAATTCTCTTGTACATTATTTTGCCTTTATCACACAAACATCAGTATTGTTTGTACTTCTCAATCGAAGTATATCTCATCTACTAATGAACAGGTAAGATCTGTCAGAGCTGGTGATGTGTACCATCGCCAAGATTCATCAC